CATAGGAGCAGATGATGCTGCTTGGCCTGCTGTGTTCATCCAGCTCTGCACCTTGTTGTCTCGGATTCTCCAGCATCTGCAGTTCCTACTATCTCTAAGTCAAATTTACAGATGTGATAGAGAAAGGCTCTCTCTGGTATTTGAACACTGTAAAGAAACGGCGTTGGGAGAGGGGGATTTTGTTTTCCCATTTGTTTTCAAATCTTTCACATTTGTGCTTTATGTAAATAGAGGTGTTTGCTCTATATTATTTGAGTGATAAACTTTTGTTTTGTTGTTAAAAATGAACCTGCAGCATTGTGTGCTTGTTTCTAGTTGAAGGCCACCATGGTAAATAACAAAGCATGATCTATCTGTCAAGATTGCAATCTGGTGTCTGACTTGTCGAGCAGTAACATCAGCTGGGATAATAACACAAGAGTGACTGGCTAAGTTTCTGATTTCCTGCTACCTACACCTCCTGCCAGGAACATAGATTTTAACTCTGTCAAGGTTTGCATGAGGCAAAAATTTTATTGTAATGCCAGAAAGTTATTCCTATATTAATAAATCAAAGACTATTATAAATTTTATGCAACTTTTGAAACCTCAAGAGGTAATAAATTAAACAAAATATTTGTTTAAGATCATTGTTTTATCAGTCTTATACTCCTATTGTAGTGATAAAGAAAGATACATACGATTTCGTCTCTCTGCACTCTCAATGTCTTCTTCATTCTCAGGATCAATGTCTTCTGCCTGAGTGATCCAATCCAGATATCCTTTGAGGTCATCTTCAAGTTGCTGCTTCTCACGTAGTTTCTGAAAGTCTCCTCTGGCCTTCGCCTTTTCCCTTTCCTTAGAAAATTCACTGCAAATTTTGTCATATTAAGAATTATTTCAGACAGAAAAATTATGGTGAAATAGAGAAAAGGTGCTTAAAATTGCTGTTACTTCATCATTAATTGTTATTGCTAACCTTAAATAAAAAACCTCAAATGATATGTAAATATTCAGAAATTGAATAATTTTCGTGTATTCACGGGCTGGTTATGTAACAAGCAATTAATCTATACAATAGTATGGTAGGTTAGTAATATGGTACTACACGTTTAGCCAGAGGAACTGAAATCCAAATACATCAATAAATTTGCAGACTAGCAACAGAAAAGAAGTAAAGAGTTATTGTCAAAATGCAACTGGTTCAGTAACATCCTTTGGGGAGGCAACCTAACATTTTTATCTCGTGACTACAATCCCAAAAACCAAAGTGGCAGTCAATTTTCATTCCCATGGATAGCAACGGTATGGTAGCACTCCGAAAATCACGGTGCATTTATTCCAAACAATATCCAGGATACCACTGCTGGGATGAAATCCTGCGACATGTAGGGCAAATACCCACAAAATGTTGCCCATTCAAATCAAGATCCTCTGCACAAACTCCATCCAGTGCATCTATACATAGAGGGCCAAAATCCATGACCTATGCCAAACTTACACATCTTTAAATAAATCTCAGTTAGTCTCATTTCTTGATAGTCTTGTGATGATTTCGCACATCTTTAAGAATATTAGAAGTTAAACGAAGTTCCAAAATAGCAGCAGGTTGCATGTGGACCTTTGTGCCTGGAACTTAACTTTCAAAAATACATTAATATCAGGATTTTTACATCTTGGCACCTGCATCACTCTGAAGTGCGAAATATGGAAAACTCCTGACTTTTTCATAATGGCTTATTGAGGTGTTAACTAGCAAGTAGATAGAAAAGTCCAATGATGACTGCCATTTCAGATAGCTTTCCTCATGTGTGATTCACCTGAACCTTTTCAGGGAACTTTAGGACTAACAACAAATGCTGGCCCTGTCAGCAAAGCTTCCATCCTATAGAAGAACTTAAGTGTTCTTGCTATTGTTACAACGGGGAACAGCCAAACCCCTCTGATAATTAAACTAAAACACAAGCCCCAATTTGTTATGACAGAAGTAGGGGTTCCCCTCTATTAATTACCCCCAAAACACCCAGAGAAGTTCATCTTTCCCCTCAATCTATTAAAAGAGTGGTTAAAAGAAAGAAAATCCCTGATCACCACTTTACATTTAACAAGAAACAATTTATTTAACCCAACAATGAAGAAATTAACAAAATTACTAACAAACTAACAATTTCCCCTTATACTACTAACTACTTCCTAACTGGTCTAAATTCTACTGGAATGCTGTTCAAATAAAAATAAGCCCCACTAATATAAACCCAATTAATAAGCAGCAATAAATTATAACTTAATCTTTCCAAGTTCACAAGGCTGTCTTCTGGAATCTTCTGTTCTCTCTACTCTCTTCACAAACACTTTTCTTCCATTAATTCTGCTGTCAGGAATGTTTTATCTCTATAATTTCTTCAATGAGGACTTTTAAGTTAAAATACCATGGTACCTTTGATCAATTAGATAGACTTTCTCTGGGGGCTAAACGGTGCTAACTCTGGCAGATGGCTCTCAGATTTTCCAATGACATAATCAGATTCTTAAAATATGATTGGTTTCAGGTTGTCAACAGCATCAGATTTGAATTCAATCGGCTTTCTGTATCTAGGTACTTCGGTTAGGTTAATTGGATGAATTCAAACTTGTTGTCATTAACATCAAAAGAAGACTGCTGTTTTACTTTCCACCTGTGAGACTTTTCTTGATGCACCTTTTTTCACATTTTGAGGCACTCTGTACTGGCAACTTTAACTGTTATTCACAGACATTCACTTAAAAATTTCTAAGTACAAACAAAGCACAAATCTCTTAAAGGAACCATACATTTTAGCTTCCTGCCTTCCACTTCACAATTACTCTACCCAATTTGTAACACTACTGGCACTTAGTCTGTTATCATAGCAATGGGACAGAAATCAGCAGGGTGATCTTAAGCACCCAACGTGGGTGGGTAACGGTGGAGATTAAATTTTTAAAATTGTAAATCCCAACACCAATCTCTACAAACCTGCTTGCTTCTGGTTTAAAAGGGCTACTACAGGGTGGGCCCATAAGCTGTTCTCAAGCAGTGAGCCAGTTATTAAATTTGTGCTAATAAATGTTTCAGATTTGAGTAATTATTCAGACTTAGTCACTGAAGACTGTATTTCCCAGGGTTTGGATGTCCATCGGTAAAGGGAACAAAAGAACTGCTGGATCCATAGTTAAGCACTTTTCAAAATGTTTACATCCATCCTTAAATAAAGTGAACAATACTGGACACCATGCCAGATGTGGTTTCACCAATGCTCCATATAACTGAAGCATAACCGCCTTACTTTTGCATTCTAGTCCCTTCACAATAAACAATAACGTTTTATTAGCTTTCCGAAGTAGTTGCTATCAAGAATAACCATTTGTCGTCAAAGGAAAGGATACGAAGAAATAAAATAAATATTTTAAAATGCTGAATTGACGTATTCAAAGATGCTCAATCCAAATAATGAAGTTGTTTTGTGTGACATCAATATTTGACACTGCAGTTAACTCGGAGATAAGAATGCAGTACCTAAACTGTTTTTAAGTGTTTCCTTTGTGCAAAATGAAAGTTTAGGTAATCTATACAGTTAATAAATGCAATAGTGACAACAAAAATCATTAAAAATCTTTTGGAAATCTTTAGAACTTGGATAAAACTAATGCAATTAGGTTAGACATATTGTGCAGCTAATTAAAGCCCTGATTAATTAGTTGACTTAATTGATACTTCTACAAGAGTCAGCAGGGTCACTAATTAACTCGGAGATTTAACATACTACTATTAATTTCCGACTTGAAATGTATTTTGCCTACACGGTAAAAATACTGATGTACAAACAAGAATGGCTAGAACTTGATGAAAAATAGTTGCATGTGAACGATAGGTGCTGTTATTACAGTCAGACTTCAATTGTAAACTCAGGGCAGAAGAAATGAAGCAGCATTGCAATCTCTAGAATTGCTGTTGCTCCACCATCTGAAATGCACAGATAGCACCTTGCATGAAACTTTCCCATTATTTTCAAAAAAACATTCTAATTGCTCATTAAACTTGCCTCAGAAAATTAAGTCCAGTAATTAATAGTTTAAATACTTTTCTCATAATATAATTATTAATGACAGCCTATCAAGTTCTGGTTCAGTAAGTGAACAATTTAAATTGTTCAGCCTCATTTCTTCAAATAGTGCATTGGTATTAGAGAACTTTAAAAATTAAATATTTAAAATTTCTTTTCAGACATTTCCTTCCTGTTTTCTTTTTCTTAACCTAATCTTGCTTTCCCTCTCATTGTTGTTCCTTCTGTACCTGATTTTATTCTAAGCCAAGCATTTCAATTCACAATGTCTGCCAGCATCTATGGACAGAGATCTAGAGTTAAAGTTTCAACTCAAGCCAGTTTGAAGAGAGTATATTTGCCCGGCAAAGTTAATTCTGTTCCTGTCTCCACAGATGCTGCTTAACTGACTGAGTATTTCCAACACTTTCTGTTTTTACTTCAGGTTTCCTACAGCTGCAGCGTATTGCTTTTATTCAAATTCACCTTGTTTATTTCTTAGCCATTCTGCTATTTATTTGTCAATCATTAAGTTTCATGGGTTAAGAGATTCAAAGTAGGTCTCGCTATTCACTGAGGTCCTTCTCCAAACCTTTTCCTCTGCTGATGGATCAATATTCCTCCTGGCTGAACACCAATCGGAGGAGGCACAGAAGATGGTAAGAGCACAGAATATACTCTGGTTTGGGGGACTTCAACATCGAGCAAAGCAGCTCAGTAGTGACAATAATAATCAATGGCAACAACATAATCAATGGTATAGTTGCTAGAATGGACCTGCAGTAGGCAGTGAGGGTATGAACAAGATGAAAAAGTTCCGAGGAAAGGTCACCGGACCCGAAACGTTAACTCTGTTTTTTCCTTCACAGATGCTGCCAGACCTGCTGAGCTTTTCCAGCAACTTTGTTTGTGTTCCTGATTTACAGCATCTGCAGTTCTTTAGGTTTTTATGAAAAAGACAATTTACTTGACTTTGCCCTCATTCATCTCCCTGAAACAGATACACCTATCTATGACAGTACTGCTAAGAGTGATCACTGCACGGTCTTTGTGAAGTCAAAGACCCATCTCAACATTAAGGATATCCTCTATCATTTTGCGTGGAACTACGACTATGCTAAATGGAATAGATATTGATTAGGTCTGGTGCTCAAAACTGGGCAATGAGGGATTGTGGGCTATCACAATCTGTAAACTCATGCCTGGCAAATCCCTTACGCTACAATACCACCAAACTGGGTGACTACCCCTTGTTCAATGAAGAATATAAGGAGGGAATGCCAGAAACAGCATCAGGAACCACCAAAAAACAAGGCATCAACCTTGTGAAGCTACAACATAGGAATACATGCATACTGAAACCGACAAAGCAACATGCAGCAGATAGAGCTAAATAATCACACAAGCAATGGACAATCAAAACTTTATAGTCTTAACACATCCAGGTCATAAATGACCACAGGCAATTAAACAATGAATAGGAAGTTGAAAGTCCACAAATATCCCTCGATACCCTTGGGCAGACTCGTGATGAGGCTGGATTGGGAAGCAAAGCACAATCATTCCACTTCATTTCAGCAGACGTCAAAATGGATAAGATATGACCAAATAGAAAAATTGAAGGGGAAAATATTCCTCTAAATTGGGAGCTCCTTGCATTTAACGTGTTAAACTTCAGCAGTACCCCATGGAAGTTCTAAGCCTAAGTCCACTGCCTCACTATTCAACATTTAATTAAGTGGGATGATTCCCTGTAACGAGAGGGAAGTAACTCCACAGAGGCCAGTATTCCATCTTCAAGTCAGCCTTA